CAGAGCCTCCCTCTACCTGGTTTAAATGATATTTGGGACTTTTGAAGTGATGGGTTTTAGATGAGATGCTTTTCCTTTGAGTTGATGCGATAACAGGATGAGACTTTGGGAAGAGGTGAGTATATACTTTGCCTGTAGGATAGACATGAATCTTTGGGGTAGGAGGAATAATAGCCCCCTAAAGTGAAAGTCACTCAGTCGTGTCCAACTCTTTGAGACCCCACAAACTATACAGTCTATGGAATTCTCTAGGCCAGAATATTAGAGTGGGTAGCCTTTCCCTTCTCCAGGGGATCTTCCCAACCCAGGGATCGAACCCAGGTCTCCCGCAGTGCAGGTGGATTCTTTACCAGCTGAGCCAAAAATAGCCCCTTAAAGATGTCCACATACTATCCCCAGAATCTGGGAGTGTGTTATACTACATGGCAAAGAGGAATTATGATTGCAGATAAAACTAAGGTTGCCAGTCAGCTGACCTTATAATGAAGAGATTACTCTGCATTATCCTGGTGGGCCCAGTGTCATCACAGAGTCCTTAAAAGTAGAAGAAAGGGCAGAAGAGGAAGCCAGAGTGATGTGATGGGAGAAGGACTCAACCTGCTGTTACTGGTTTTGAAGATGGAGGAAGGACCCACAAGCCAAGGAACATAGGCAGACTCTAGAAACTGGAAGAGACAAGAAAATAGAATCTCCCCTAGTGCCTCTAGTAAAGAAGACAGCCCTGATGACCCCTAGATTTTAGCCTTCTGAGCTTTGTGTCAGACTTCTGACCTACAGATAGGTCAGATAATAAATTTGTGTTGCCTTATTTAAGATTGCAACAATTTGTTACAACAGCAATAGAAAACTAATGCCAGGAGCTCAGTCCCTGCCTCTATAGACAGAAAAGCATGATCGTCTAGTTTACTGTTCGGCACACATCCACTCGCCTCACCCTCCCATGGGTAGGTGAAGGGAGGTGTGGCGGGGGGATTACCTCCCTCCCTAAGTCATTTGGGCCCTGGGCTTGCGACCTCCTTTGCCCAGAGAAATGCTCGCACATCTGAAAGCAGAGGTCTTAAGTGAAGACCTCACTCATTTGCTCCCGGGATCCTCCTTGAGAAAAGCACACCCCAGATAACTCCAGAGCCCAGGAGTATCCTTGAGCCTGATCCACAGTCTGGAGCCAAACCCAGCTGACCCCCAACCTGAAGCAGAGCTGCCCAACCAGCCCAGCTGAGTTCAGCCAAAGTGCAGTCGACCTGAGGACCCTGAGTAGAGGATAAACTTTCCTTGCTGCAGTCCACTGAGCCCTGCAGGTGCTTCGCATGCAGCCGTGCCAATGGGGACACAGCTGACTGACACAGAGAGTTCTGGACAAGACACACAATCAGTCCTTTTATTGATAAGGGCCGTCCTGGTGTGTAACTGTGTGCACATGTGCACATGAGGATCCACCCATGTGAAGCTCTGAACAGTGAGAGAACATCCATATACAGCTGTGCACGTATGGGGTCACTCTCTGTCACAACTGGAGGCACCATAGCTGTGCTTGACGTCAGGGAACCCATGTGGTTTTCCCCCTCAAAACTAATTCATCCCCTCACTACAAGGAATCCAGCTTCTGGCCAAAAACTTATGCCTGACTTTTTTAAAGTATTTTTTTTAATTGAAGTATAGTTGATTTACAATGTTATATTAGTATCTGTTGTACAGCCAAGTGAGATATATATATGCATGCATATATATGTGTGTGTGTGTGTGTGTGTGTGTATATATATATGATATTTATAGATGTCAGGTTCTTTTCCATTAAACGTTGCTAGGAGATATTGAATATAGTTCCCTGTACTACAGGGTAGGTCTTTGTCATTCATCTATTTTTAAATAGAGTGTGCATGCGTGTGTGTGTGCTGTCTCCTCAGTTGTGTCTGACTCTTTGCGACCCCGTGACAGTAGCCCACCAGGCTCCTCTGTCCATGGGATTCTCCAGGCAAGAATACTGGAGTGGGTTGCCATGCCCTCCTCCAGGGGATCTTCCTGACCCAGGGATCTAACCCACTTTCCTTATGTCTCTAGCATTGGCGGGTGGGTTTTTTACCACTAGCACCACCTGGGAAAGCCCGAAGCATGCATGTGTGTGTGTGTCTTTGCGCGCGCTCGTATGTTTGTGTGTATGTTCAGTCACTTCAGTCCTGTCCAACTATTTGTGACCCCATGAACTGTAGCCCACCAGGCTCCTCTGTCCATGGGGTTTTCCAGGCAAGAATACCGGAGTGGGTTGCCATGTCCTCCTCCAGGGGGTCTTCCCAAGCCAGGGACTGAATCCTTGCCTCTTGCGCTGCAGGCTGATTCTTTACGGCTGAGCCACCATGGAAGCCCCATAGACTAGTGCACACCTGTTCACTTCTCAGGCACAACCAGAGGCCATTATAAAGGCTCTCCCTGGCAGGCCTGGCGGGGAAGTCTGCCCACCCCCCACACACCAGCGTGGTGCCCCGCCAGTGCATGCAGTCTCTGAGGGGTCACAGCCAAGGATTCAAGCCCCTGGCCCATCCTACATTCTTCGTGCAGCTTCCTCCAGAGACCTTCAGCAAGGGAGGGGGTAGCCTCTGGCCAAGGCCCCCCTCAGGTGCCTCCCCCTTATCAGGGGTAGAGGAGAAACCTCGAAGACCCTTGTCTCCACTCTGACTCAGGACTCAGGACCTTCCTGCTCCTAGCCCTCCCTACACTCCCTTCCCCACTCCACCCACCCCCACCCCAATCCCCAACTCCGGCCCCCAGGTTCCCAGGCCGCCAGCAGTGAGAACATCCCTGGTGCTGACCCACCCCACCCGATGGTGCCATTCAGCCCAAGCAGAAAACTCAAGGGAGTGATGTCAGTGCTTCTCCAGTTTAGCAGCCTCTTCCTTATGCTCCAGAAGTGAGCAATTGAAGCTGGATTGTTACTTTCATTTGGACTCTTTTTTTTTTGGCTGTGTTGGGTCTTCACTGCTGCACACGGGCTCCTCATCGTGGCAGCTTCTCGTGTTGTGGCACATGGGGCTCCAGGCATGTGGGCTTCAGTAGTTGTGGCTCACCGGATCTTCGCAGACCAGGGATCGAACCTGTGTCCACTGCACTTAACCACTAGACCACCAGGGATGTCCTGAACTTGTCTTAACTGGCTCCTACGACTCCTGGTGGCTCAGCTCTCTCCAGCCCGCTGAGCTCCTGCCCCTGCACTGATTAAAAGTGAGCTGCCTCTACCACTTTCAGCCTGGTGACCCTCGAAAAAGTCACTAAACAGCTTTATGCTTTGGGTTCTTCCTCTGTAAAAATGAAAATGCTCACAATACCCACCTCCTAGGGTTGTTCCTGTGAGGATTTGATGAGCTGACAGATGAAAGAAGTTCCAGCTAAGCATTTGCTATGATGATGTTCAACACTGTCCATTTCTGTTTGGAGATCCACATGCTTCTGGGGGTGCCTGTTGGCTTAGCCTGGGTCATGTGCCCAGCCCGTCCATACCTTCCCCTGCTCCAGGGGTCTAGACTAAACTAGCAGGTGTTCTCCACGTCCTAGGCTGATTCCTGGTGGGCTTGTGATCTGATCTAGTCATAGTGACTCTTAAAGACATTGGCTGAAAATTCTGGGATACAGACACTCTCTCTTTCTAGCAGGACATGAACAAAGAATCATAACACCCTAGGAGATGCTGGCAGCCATTCTGGGACCACAGGGAGTGCTGACCTCAGCAAGGGGAAACACGTGGAAAACAAAGGAGAAAGGGGGGAACCAGGTCCTTGGTGTCATCACTTGATTTCTGGTTAAAGCCTCACCTCATCTAGACGTATGTACCTGAGCTCTTTACTGTTTAGGCCAATTTGACTTGGGTATTCTGTCACCTGTAATCCAAAGTCTCCCAACACACAGAGTGGATCTGTGAGACATCAGAGGCTCTTGGGAATAGGGGGTAGACTAGGTCCCCAGGGAGGCCAACTCTGAGACAGAGCATAGGGTACAAGCTTTGATTACTGAGTGTCCTTGGAATCAGCTGAGGGAGAGAAGAGAGGGCTAGGCAGGGCTAGGAAGACAAGGAAGTTGAGCTACAGTGCAGACCCAGGGGCAGTTTCCACCAACCCTCCAGAGAGCTGTGGAGCCAGAGGAGCCTTTGATGTTTGCACATTGAGCATCATCAGAGGCGGGAAGGGGCCGGGCTCTCTGCACCTCACACAAACCCCAATGGGACTGGCAGCTGGAGGATGCCTGCCAATGCCCCTCTCAGTAACCCGAGCAACAAGCCCTTGCTTGAAAGGGGCCCAAGCATCAGCCCTCTAAGTTCACCTTGGAAGACTATGTGGTGGGGAACAGTGCTTGACCAGGCACCCGAGGGTGAGTTGGCGTTCATGTCCATGTACAGTGAGAATACAGGCGGTGGACAGACAGACGACTGGACTGTAAGAGAGATGGACAGCAGCAGTGAAGGTTCAGCAAGTTCCCAGGGGTATCAAATTCCAGGCAACCCCCCTCCACCCAGGCACTGGTCTCAAAAAATCTGGGCACAAATCAGAGGGAAAACTGGGCTCCCACTGCACCAGGGAGGGGGCGGCTGGGGCCACAGAACCATGGAGACTCAGGCAGGGGGGTCCCTCCAGCACTTGTTGAGAAGTTCTGAGTCCCAGATGCAGGCAGCACAGTTATCCACCTCTTATCTTAAGACAAAATCTATTCCTACCATGCCTTAGGAAGCCCCAGGCACTGGCAAAGACCAGGGCAAGCCCAACTTTATTGGTAAAAAGGACTCGCCTAGGAATTCCTACCTGGCCCAAGTAGCAGCTCCAATAAGAAAGAATGAGGGGCAGGAGAGGAAAGAAGAAAGGAAGGGAGAGAGGGAAAGAAAGTGGGGAAAGAGGGAGGGAGTGAGGAGGGAAGGAACAGCAGGCTGGCCCCCATTCAGGGACATGGCCTTAGGAGAGAACTCAAGGCTCCAGGAAGGGGGAAGAGACCAGGGAAGGAGGGTTGGCCCCCAACCCCACCATCTAGAAGGGCAGCAGCTCTTCCACAGGGATGTTGAGGATGACGTCCATGTCGGGGGTGCACCTGTAGGGAAGAGCAAAGCGGGGGTGTAAAAGGCCAGGCACTAGAGCTGCAGGTAGGGGCGCATGGCCTCAGGGGAAACCTGACCTTTAGAACACTGGTACTGGGGAGCCCCATTCCAAAACAACCTGTGCGCGCACACACACACACACACACACACACACACACATCAAAATGAAACAGGAATTGGTTTGGCAGGACTCATGTTCCCCTACAGAGGTCTGAGGTCAACAGAGAGCAGGAGCTCAGCTCTCAAGCACTGGGGTCCTTCAAGATGCGCGCTCTCTCTGGAGTCAGAATGACCATCTTGCAAGCCTGGCTCTGTGTCGCCTCAAACACACTGCTTTTCCTCGCCAAGCCTCCCGCCTTCACTGGGGACAGACCCCAGGCGAGACTCTGTTTCCTCACCTGGCAAATGGGGAGGGTCTAGAAGAAATGAAGATGAAGCCGACCAAAATATAACAAATTTTAAAACTAGATGGGTAACTGGGTACTCATCACAGTATTCTCTCAACTTTTCTATACATTTGAAATCGCTCAAAGTAATAGTAAAAAAAAAAAAAAAATGCATCTCAGCACTGTCGTTCAGTCACTCAGTCACAGTTCAAAAGCATCAACTCTTCGGCTCTCAGCCTTCTTTAAGGTCCAACTCTCACATCCATACATGACTACTGCAAAAATCATAGCTTTGACTATATGATCCTCTGTCAGCAAAGTGATATCTCTGTTTTTGAATATGCTGTCTAGGTTTGTCATAGCTTTTCTTCCAAGGAGCAAGTGTATTTTAATTTCATGGCTGCAGTCACTGTCTGCAGTGATTTTGGAGCCCAAGAAGATAAAATGTCACTGCTTTCATCGTTTCCCCATCTATTTGCCAAGAAGTGATGGGACTGGATGCCATGATCTTTATTTTCTGAATGCTGAGTTTTAAGCCAGCTTTTTTACTCTCTTCTTTCACCTTCATGAGGAGGCTCTTTAGTTCCTCTTTACTTTCTGCCATAAGGGTGGTGTCATCTGCATATCTGAGGTTATTGATATTTCTCCCAGCAACCTTGATTCCAGCTTGTTCTGGCATTGCCAAAATTTCCATTTCCAGCCAAAGTCTGTCTTCTGAGATCTACACTTATACCCCCAGCTCCCTACCTGTCGGCTCCACACTCAAGTCTCCATAACTTAAACTCAGTGTCCAAATCAAGTGCCGATTGACCTACATATGCATCCTTTTACCCCAGTCCCAGTCTTCCCTGTCTCTGGGTTTGGTACCACTACCCACCCTGTTACAAAAGCCAGGAACCCAAGGGTCATTCTTGACACCTCCCTGTACTGTGCTTCCCATATCCAAATATCACCAAGTCCTACAGATTTACCTTCTTAAATATTTCTCCACTCCATCCATCTCTCCTCTCTCTTCTGCCATCCATCCTGGCGAAGTCACTCCCAACCACCCGCTCCACACACAACCGCCATCACAACCAACTGGACTCCCAACATGGCCTCTCCAATATCTTCTCCATATTCTTTTCAAAGTGTCTTTTCTTGGAATGCAAATCTGATGTCATCACTGAGCTTGAAAAGTCTTTACTTAGGACTTCGCTGGTGGTCCAGTGGTTAAGACCCCACACTTCCACTGCAGGGAGCACAGGTTTGATCCCCGGTTGGGGAACTAAGATCCTGTATGCCAAGTTGTATGGGGGAAAAAAAGTTATCTGCTTTCAGGATCAAATATCTTTGGTCTACAGGGCCCTGCATGGAAGTCCCTAGGGGCGGGGATGTCATTACTCTCCCTATCACTCTGCAGTCCAACCTCACTCAGCTCCCCATAAACACCAACTTCCCTCCTACCACATATCTACAGCCTCACTGCTCAGCCTGTGGTCCAGGGATCAGCACCTCAGCATCTCCCAGTAGCTGCTTAGAAATGTAGACTCTTGAGCCCCACTCCAGGCCTATTGATTCAGAATCTTCTTATCAACAAGATCTCCAGGTGATTCCAGTGCATGTTTTGGATGGAAAAGTTCTACTTAGCAGCATGCCATTCCCACATTCTAGGAGGAGACAGTTTCTTCCCACTCCTGGCATCTCCCTGCCCCTGGAAGGGCATCAGTGGGCATACTGTCATCAATGGGCATACACCATCAATGGGCATACTGCTCCTGGCCTCTCTCCATCTCTTTACTCACTCTGCCTGGGAAGGAGGTATAACAACCTGAACGGAGTCTGGAGAGAGGAATGGGGCCTGGGTAGCCCTGCCCCATACTCTGTCAGTAATGAGCAGCCTGCAAGGACCACAGTCTCCTTTGCTCCCAAGCAACTGACCACAGAACTCCATTTGCCTAATTCCAGGTTAGTATTCAGAAGCCAACACGCCTGGAGATATAAGCTACCTTCTCTAAAATCAGCTCTATCAGGTAAAAGTGAGAGTCTGGCCCATGTCACCTTGCCCCTTTCATTCTTATTTCAGGGTGTCCAGAGCACGGGTAGGGACAATGGGGCCTACTTAGCACATCTCGAGATGCCAGCACCACCACCTAGAAACATTCTTCCTTCAGTTTCCCCTTCAGCCCCCTTGGCCCAGTGAGCTTCTATGAATAATCCTTCAGACTTGAGTTTAAAAATGTCACATTCTCAGGACTTCCCTGGTGGTCCAGTGGTGAAGAATCTGCCTTCCAATACAGGGGATGCGGGTTCGATCCCTGGTCTGGGAACTAAGATCCCACATGCCGTGGGACAACTAAGCCCACACGCCACAACTAGAGAAGCCCGTGTGCCACAGTGGAGACCCAGCAAGGTCAGAAAAAAAAAAGGCCACGTTTTTAGGGAGACCTCTTCGCCACTCCTGACACCTCTCTGTCCAGGCCACGCTCTCCCATCACCACACCCACACCTCTTGTTTAGCAGCTCTCATCTCAGCTGCAACATTTATCTGTGGTTTGTTATCGATTCACGTCTGGTCCCATCCTCGGCTCTGCGGTGGCAGAGCCAAGGACTGTTTGCCCTCATCATGCCTGGGGCTTCCTAGGCCCATCGTAGATCTGACAGCACTTTTTAAGGAAACTTAAGAGGAGACTGAAGAGGTAGAGGAGCAAGAAGGAAAGGGAGAGGAAGAGAAGGAGACAGACACAGAAGCTAAGGAGAAGAAAAATAATTGGCAAATGGCAGTAACTACCCCACTTGGAGAGGCATGGTCTGGGGGGATCCTCATGCTCAAACAGGGAGGGCCTGCCCCCGGGAAGGTCAGGCGGGGAATTGGTTTTGGAAGGAAGTTCTTCCTTTGGGTCCCAGAAGTCTGCCTCACAGAGAGAACACCATTCTCTCCTCGCAGAGTGCCTTCCAGGCCATTCTTCCCTGGAGCCAACCATCCTACTCAACACCGTCTCTTCCTGAACAGCCTGGGAGCTCAGGGGTACACCTGCTTGGTTGAGACACCGAGTCTGGAACTGGAAGGGTCCAGGGAGATTACCTAACTCAGCCTGCTATGTGCAGACACACTCAGGCCAAGAGATGGCAAAAGGCCACAGCTACCGCACGGTCAGTGGCAAACACCCAGTCTCCTGCCCCCTTGCACAGGTCCTGCCTTCTCCCCCAGGCTGCCCCCCAAGAACAGAGAGCTTGCTCAAGCCCAGAGCATGGCTAGTGTAAGAGGTGCTGCTCAAGGACCACCTACTTGGATCTCCGAAGTAGAACGTCCGCAAATACGATCTCTCGGGGTTCCCACATCTGAACTTCCAGCTGTTCTGTCTCAGCCTTTAATCTGGGTATTTCCTCCTCAAAACGGTCTATAAACTGAGGAAAGCAGGTGAAAGTAAGAAGCCAAACATCCCCCAACCAATAGAAGAAAAGGGCAAAATGCATGAATAAGGACATCTAGGGAAACGGCCTGGGCTTTGTCATTGGGACTTCTGGATTCCAAAGCGGGCTCTCACCTTGCAGGGCAGGGCTGGCTCATGAGTTACTGACAACGTTTGATGGTGCTAAAAAGGGTGAGGGGAGACAGACTGCAGGGGGTGGCAGTGCTCAACAGTGAGAATGAGTGGGGGTTGGTGGAGGTGATGAAGGTCATTCACGCAGACAACTGATAAAGGTGCAAGATAATGAAAACTACCATCAGAGGGTGGTGATCGTGGAATTCATTAACATGGTCTTGAGTGATGGTCAATGTCAAGAATTAAGAGGTGAAGACAAGGAGTGGGTAGTGATAGTAAAGTGATGGTTGTGTGGGTGAAGCTTGGTGATGCTGCCGATGGGTCAAGGCTGGTGGTGTTGGTTAATGAGGCAAGGCCTACTCCAGGACAAATTCCCTTCTCAGATGGAAGATGAGTGACATTAATAGCACAGCCAAGGAGGAAGACAAACACCAGAGACCTCATGAGCCCCAGATCAGGACAAGCCTGACCGCCCCAGAGGTCCTGGGGACCACCCACTCCCTCTGCTCTCACACAGGGGGGACCACCACCATTGCCACCCACTCACTTCTCGGAACTTGTCCATGTATTTCAGTATAACCCGGGTATTCCAGGTCTTCTGCAGGAGAGTCTCCTGATTGGCACGCTGGATTTTCTGTGGAAGAAGGAAAATCTTCTTCTGGCCCCCTAGAAGGGGCCCCCTAGAAGTCTGGCCCCCTAGACTGGCCCCAGTGTCTACCCCTGCCCTGGGTAGCAGATGGGCATGTGGTGGGCCTGAGGGCAGAGGACAGGGTTAAGAAAGCAGGGCTGGGGGCAGGACCCGGATAACTGCCACAGTGGCTAGCTACTCACCACCACCAGAGACCTCAGGAGGTTTTTTTTCTTATTCTGAATCTGGTTGGACATAGACGCCAGGACCATCTCGCACATCTCACTGAGTTCATCTAGCTCGTCCTAGGGGTTGGCAGGAAGGTATTGGCCACCAACCCTGCCTCCCACAAGGTCAGGTGAGGCAAAACCAGGGGCTCACCTACCAACTGGCTGTCCTTCACCTGCTGCAGCTGGTGCATGAGGTTGGCCACCTGTACCAACTTGATGGGGTACTCGTGGTCCTTGTAGGTGCTCATGAAGCTCACCTGCTCATGGACCTTCTCGATCTGGGCATCCAGCTGCTCCACCTGTTGCTCCAAGTCTGACGAGATCAGGAGGGACAGAAGGCAGGGTCATCCCTCAAGGACCACTCCAGAGCCACCCGAGAGGCAAAGCTCTCCTTAGCCAGTGGGTTGGGGTCTGGGTCTACAGCTGTGCCACCCTGAACATGCCTGATCTCATCTGGATTGGGGTCTGGGCTGGAACAAGCCCAAACACAGCTGGTAGGTGATGGAGGGGTAACCCCCAGACAACGCTTTGCCTTCACAAGAGAAGAAGCAACAACCTACCCAAAAGAGGAAACAAACTATCCCGGTGCCTGATCCTCGGGATCCTAGGGAGATGGGGTGACAGGGAAGAATTAAGACAGCCTATGCTGGGACTTCCCTGTTGGTCCAGTGGTTAAGAATCTGCCTCCCAATGCAAGGGATGAGGATTTGATCCCTGGTCGGGGAACTAAGATCCTACATGCTGGAGGGCAACTAAGCCCACATGCCACAACTAGAGAAGCCTACTAACTTCTACTACTGCGCCCTGTACACTCCAGAGCCTGTGCTCCGCAACTAGAGAAAGGCCGAGAGCTGCAACGAAGAGCCTGCACACTGCAACGAAGACCTTGCTCAGCCAAAAAAATAAATAAATAAAGGCAGTCTATCCTGCCACCGTCCATGGAGGGGATCCCAAGTGTCTGAAGCTGCCTGACACACCAGGGGAAAAAAAACACAGGCTCAACAAATCTGTGACCAGTGATCTGCCCAGCCGCCAACTCCCAGAGGAACCTTGGCAGGAAACAGACAGGCTGGGGTTGGATGCTGGCTCCTAGCTGTATAACTTTCAGCAGGCTACTTCACTTCCTTTAGCCTCAGTTTCCTCATCTGTAAAATGGAAGAAAAGAAAAACTTCCCTGCCTTAGAGATAGTTGTAAGGACTGCAAGTATGCCCGCAAAAAAAAGCACATAGGGCCTGCAAGTGATAAGTGATAAGTAAGCTGTCGCTGTGCATCTTAGCAATCCCCTCTGCCTCAGAAGTGAGGTGGTGGGCCTGATGGCTTCCCCTAGAGAGCCAGGTGAGGGTCAACTAATCCACGGAGAGATTCTTACTATGGATCTTGAATTCCTCCTTCTCCTCCCATTCCTGGAGCTCACACTTCATCTGGTGCAGCTTCTTCTTGTTGAAGTATTCCAAGATGTCAGTGATGGTCTATGGAAGTTGGGTCGTGGGGGGGAGGCGTTAGCTCACCACAACCACCCCACCACCCCCGCTTCCACTGGTGCTGCCAAAGCAAGGACCGTCAGAGAATTCAGTACTTCCTCAGAGGAGTCCCCAGACCCAACCCCACACTGGAGCCCACACCTCCTGTGTGCCAGGGGCAACTCCTTTTCTGGGTGAGCGCTATTGTGCCCCACTTGTATGGGGCTCAGAGGTTGACTCAGAGTCTTCCAGCTAATTAGTGAACTGGGATGAGTCCCCACCCCACCCCACCCCCAGTCTAGGTCGGGGTGCGGGGGGCGGGGAGAGTGGAGTGTATAAAAGATGCTGTCTTCCAGGCGGAGGAAGGAGCTTCTGCAACCGGCCGGGAGAGGCCGGCAGAAAGCAGGAGAGGGCGCCCGAGGGCTCGGGAGGGGCGGTGTCGCGGGCTGGAGGGCGGCTCGGGGCGGCGGCGGGGCTGCGGGGCCACGGCGGGGAGAATCACCATGTAGACGTCCTGCTGCTGCAGCAGCATCCGCACTTTCAGGGCCCCGCTGTCCTCTGTGTCCTGGATGGTCTTGATCAGTTCCCCACAGAGCTTGGTGAGGAAGTCCTCGTGGTCGCAGAGCTCCTGGTACGAGGTTCGCCGGTTCCGGAGCATTGTCTGCGGGCGGAGAGACAGCGAAGGGAGGCGGCGGTGCGCGGGGCCGGCTGGCACCTCCGGGAGCCCAGGGACCACGTCCCTCCCGCCGCAATCCGCCCCCTTGTGGCCCCGACTGATAAATGCCACCCGAGCTAGGCGGCGGTTCTCTATTGTCTGCAGGTCAGAGCACCTTGAATTATTTTATCCTTTCTGAAACACCCATTTTCCCATAATTTTACACTTTGGGGTGGAGCTGTATCTTACAGCTGGTGGGGTGTTACAGTCTAGTTGAAAAATATTTTATTAGTGGGTTATTAAGATAAAGGTGCCCCTTATGACCAGTGGCTTCTTAGAATCAGTGAACTATGGTTGTGTGTTAGTCGCTCAATCGTGTCTGACTCTTTGCGACCCCATGGACTGTAGCCCGCCAGGGTCCTCCGTCCATGGGGTTCTCCAGACGAGAATACCGGAGTGGGTTGTCATTCCCTTCTCCAGGGGAACTTCCCGACCCAGGGATGGAACCACGGTCTCCCGCATCGCGGACGAATTCTTTACCCTGAGTCACCAGGGAAGTCCTCTTTGGATTGAAAGAAGTCTTAACCGCTGGACCACTAAGGAAGTCCCAACATATTTTTCTTATTTTCTTCTTTCTTGTCTGTCTTCCCAACTAGAATTTTACAGCCAGGAGGGCAGGGGCTTTGGTTATCTTGTCACAGCTGTATCTCCAACACACACACAGAACAGTGCCTAGAGCTCCATAAGGGTGGGCTTAATCAACTGATGGGTAAATATTCTTTGGAGGTTTTTTTAATTTGTTATTTGTCTCCCCACTGAAGTATAAGCTCCATCATAGCACGGATTCTGGGATCATGTTTATGGCTATCTCCCCAGCACCTAGCTTGGTGCCTGACACATCGCTGGCACTCTCAGGAGCTGTTGCTTGAATAAAAAACTGTCCTGAGGCTGAGGGGCAGAGTCAAAATCCTACTCCAACTCCAAGAACAAACCAACTGGGTCGTTTCTGCATTCTTGCTCTGTTCCCCATTGTCCCCACAGCCCATTCTGCACACAGCAATAGCACCCCGGGAACTCCTATGAACCTCAGGGCCTTTGCAGTTCCAGTTCTTCTGCCTGGAGCATTCCTGCCTCAGATGTCACCACCTTGACAGCCTTCCCTGACCACCCTCCTAAAACGGTCATGGCCACCCCCTCATCTGTGCCCCTTTAGCCCCTAACCTTATTTTATACTTCTTCATAGCTCTTATCTTCACTACACATATCATATTTTTATCTATCTTGTTTGTTATCTGTCTCCCCTTGTAGACTGTGAGCTCCCTAAGGTCAGAGGTCACATCACTGGTGAATTCCCACACTTAGAACAGGGTCTGGGACACAGTAGATGCTCAAATATTTGTTGACTAAACAAATGAATGATTATAAGAGAGAGTATTAGGAACTGGTTAGGAGCACAGGTTTTAGAGCCAATTGTCCAGGTTCATGTTTCATATCAAACAAAAACACATAACCCCCCAAAAAACACAAAAAACACATAACCCTTCTAAAGTCAGGATAAAAATAACATCAAAAATAGGAGTTCCTCCTTTAAGAATACTGGACTGCCTCTAATAACTGATTTTTGAAAAATTGAAGGTTAAAGAGGAAAAAACTATTTCAAGGCAAATACATTTCTACCTATTTCTTTATATAACAATCATTGTTCATTGAGCTATTAAAAACTTTCCTGAAGAAGTTAAGAACTCTTCTATAATATTTTGTAGTATTTATAGTATTTGGTATGTTACTTTCTGCTATGGACACTAATGCCCCTACTTCTTCTGGTTCATTTCAAATACTTTGAAACATTGTTCAGAAGCCATAATAAACAACAGATTTTGAGAAAATCAATGATCAAAAGTTCTATCAGTTGATGTGAAAAGTTTTAATAGGAAGCTCCTAAGTCTTGCTTCAAGATGCACTGTATTTCATGAAAGGTTAATTTTCCAGAGTTTTTAAATGAACAGGTCACTAGATTGTATTCCTAATGCAGTGAAATAAAATTATTCCAATCATTTTCCTGAATCTTAAACACAAAGGCAAATCTTTGCCTAACTGACTTTGACCCCTGGTACTGCATCCATGCACCTGTTTTCCCTGCTATAAAATAGGGCTGATGATAAGTATGCCCATGGGGTTGCTGTGAGGAGAACAAGATTGCAGGCAGGCACCCACGAAGTGCTCAGGGCATGTTTGCTATCACCATCCCCATGTTTGCTATTACCATCCCCCACCCCCGGCCCTGGCCCCCAGTGCCCGTGGGAGGATGCTCATACTCTCATTAATCGGATTGTGGCCTGTGTCTTCCCAGAGTCCAACTTTCCTCTGTGCAGCTCTAGTGGATTCCTCGGCTGGCTTGTCATCCACAAGGTAGGCTTGGATTGCCACCCTAGGGCATGGGAAAGGACAGAGAGAGAGAGAGTCAGGAGAAAGAGTCAAACAGCCCAGGCCCCAACTGCATCCACTCGTGGCCTTAGAATGTATGACAGTGAGACAGAGGCCAAAGCTCACATCCATCAATAAGCTCCCAGGCCCCACTCTGGTCCTTGTTATAAAGGACAGCGAAGCCCAGGGAACTTCCACATACCACACTGACTATGCGGCTGAACAGAGGAGCAGTGATGGGTAGCAGCGGGAGATGGCCAGACACCCTCATCTCTCCCACAGAGCTGGCCAATGGTAAGCTCAGGAGGGAAAGGGGTTAAAAGCAATAACTAACGAGCCAGACAGCCTGGGTTTGTTTTTTTTTTGTTTTTTTTTTATGTTTATCTGATTTTTTTTTCCATTTATTTTTATTAGTTGGAGGCTAATTACTTTACATCATTGCAGTGGTTTTTGTCATACATTGAAATGAATTAGCCATGGATTTACATGTATTCCCCATCCCGGCCTGGGTTTGAATCTGGCAGCTCACATGACCTCTCTGCCCCTCTCTTCCCCATTACTCTATAATACAAGAATCATCATCATGCCTACCTCACAGGATTGTCGTGAAGACTAAATAAGAAGTTACTGTCCTCTAAAGTGTTTGGAATAGTGCTTAACACATATTCAGTGCAAATATAAATTACCGGTTGTCATTGTTATTACCAGTGACCTGAGAACTGGGATCAGGACCACAGCATCAGATAAAGATACAGGAGCCAAGCAAAACACTGTCTCTGAAATATCTGTAAAAGCTGTGGTCCTGCCAGATATGAAGTATACGAAAATAATTCAGAGCAGAAGACACTCAGAGGGCATGTTCCAAGAATCCCTGTTTCCTCTTGGCGTGTCCTGCACCAGCGTGAGGCAAATCACACAAACCATCACAAATGCTGCCCTCAAAGGCCCTGTTACAGGTGCAGCCCAGTTCATTTTAAAAAATAGTATTTCTTTAATGGATTGATATCTGTTATTTAGTATTAAGTACTGAGGTTACAAGGCAAATTAGAGTAATTTTGAGTTAAAATTATGAATTATCTGATATTTACTTGAAACTGAGAGGTGGAGTGATTAATACATTACTCTTGTAATTCTAATTTTTTTATATTTATTTTTATTTATTTATTTGGCTGCACCAGGTCTTAGTTGCAGCATGCAGGATCTTTGATCTTTGTTGCAGCATGCAGGATCTTCAGTTGTGGCATGTAGGATCTAGTTCCCTGGCCAGGGATGGAACCCAGTCCCCTTACATTCAGTCTTAGCCACTGGACCCCAGGGAAGTCCCTTGTGATTCTAATTCAAAATATGTATATGAGACTTTGATTTAGATTTGTTTTAAGTTGCAAGGTTTAACACAATCTTATTAAATGTATATAAATTACCACAACTTTTAAGAGAACATAAGATTATCCACATTTAGAAGTTTATTTATTAGATATACAAGAATTACATTACATGCCCAATGGTTTTGTTAATCAGAACAAGTGAACTTTTTGAAAGTGAAAATGTATATATTAAATTTTAAATGTAGCTTAAACAATTTAAGGGAATTTAATTAACCAAGTTCCAAAACCTCCTTTACAAGGGTTTTTAAAAATTATAACATTTGTAGGTTGAACTTAAATACTTAGGAAGATTTGTCGGTTTAATAACTAGTATTTCTTTTCATTAGTGGTGGTAGCCCTGATTTATCTTTTTTTAATTAAACTTTTTATTTTGAAATAAATTCAGCTTACATGCAGTTTTAAGAAATAATACAAAGAAATCTTGTGTTTCCTTAACCCAGATACTCCCAATGGTAACATCTTATAAAACTAAGCACAGTATCACAACCAGGACACTGAAAGACAGCATGCTACAGAACATTTCCACAAACGCAAAGGATTGCTCCTGGGGCCTTGTATTGCCATACCCATTTCCCTCTCCTTCCATCCTCATCCCACTGCTGGCAATCATGAATCTCTTCTCCATTTCTACAGTTCTGTCATTCCCAGAATGTTATACAAATGGAGTCTAACAATATGACACTTCTAAGACTGGCTTTTCTCACTCAGCGTAATTCACTGGAGATTCATCTAAGTTAGTGAATGTATCAAAAGTTCTTTCCTTTTCCTTCTGAATAGTATTATGTGGTATGGAATGGAAGCGCCATAGTTTCCTTAACTACTCACTCATTAAAGGACATCTGGACTGTTTCCAGTTTGAGGGTATTATGAATCAGGCTACAGTGAAACTGTCATGCACTGGGTGTTGTGTGACCATAAGTTTTCACTTCTCTGGAATAAATGCAACTGTTGAATCATTATGGGAAATGTGTGCTTGGTTTCATTAGAAATGAATGACCCAATCCCTCGTTGTTGCCAACACTTGATATTATGACTATTTTTCATTTTAGTCATCCTGATAGATGTTCAGTGACACCGCCATTCTGATTTAATTTGCATAGCCCTAGTAGATAATGATGTTGAATATCTTTTCCTGTGCTTATTTACCATATGTATTTCCTCTTCTGGTGAAATGTCTCTTCAAGTCTTTTGCCTTTAACTCTTTAACTGAATTGTTTTTCTGTTGAGTTTGAGGGTTCCCAATATATTCTACAAAGCAGTCCTTTATCAGGTTTGCAAACATTTTATCCAAGTACATAGCTTCATACTTAATCTCTGTTAAGACTGTGAAAAGAACAGAAGTCATAAATTTTTATGCAATCCTGCCTATTCATTTATTCCATTTTTCTTTTATGAATCCGCTGTTGGTATGAAGACAAAGAACTCTTCACTTGGCCATCAGTCCCAAAGATTTTTCTCTCATGTTTTTTCTAAGTTTTACTGTTTTACATTTAATTTTGATTTCATTTTAAAATTACATTTTGGGTTAATTTTTGTGTAAGTTGTGAGACTTTGATAGTTCATTTTTTCATCTGTGGATGTCCATCTACTCTAGCACCATTTGTGGAAAAGGCTTTCTTTTCTCCACTGTTTTTGCACCTTTATCAAAAATTGCTTGGGTATTTGTGTGGCTGTTTCTGGTTTTTTATTTTGTTCTATTGATCTATGTGTCTTTCTATCAATACGATGCTGTTTTGATTACTATAACCAAATAGTAGGCATTAATATCAGGTAAAGTGATTCTTCCAATGTTGTTCACTTTATTTTTTTTTTCAGTTCTACCACTTTATTGCTACCAACCCATCTCCCTCCACCCTCGTGCACACATGCTCAGTCATGTAACCCCATGGACTGCAGCCCGCCAGGCTCCTCTGTCCATGGACTTTTCCAGGCAAGAATACTGGAGTGGGTTGCCATTTCCTTCTCCATCGATGTTGTCCACTTTAAATTGTCTTATCTGTCCTAGGACCTTGCTTTTCTGTATAAATTTTAGAATAAACTTGTCCATGTCTACAGATAAGCTTGCTGGGATTTTGACTGGAATTGCATTAAACATGAATCAATCTGAGAACTGACATCTTTACTATATTGAGTCTTCTAATCCATGAACACAGTATGTTTCTCCATTTATTTAGGTCTTCTTTGATTCTTATATCAGCATTATATAGATTTCAGCTTACAGATCCTATACATGTTTTGTTAAGTTTATGCCTAAATATTTCATTTTCTTTGGTGTGACTGTAAATGTATCATGGTTTTTATTTTGATTTCTACATATTTATTAGTACATAGAAATGTGATGGGTTTTCATGTGTTGTGCTAGTATCCTGCAACCTTGGTCAATTCATTACTTCTAGTTTCTTTTTAGATATAGTAGACTCCTTAAGATTTTTTATGTAGACAGTCATGTCATCTATAAATAAGAACAGTAAATAATTCTATCCGATTCATCTCAGTATTGGTGTCTGTCTTTTCTCATTCATGTTGTGATTTTTCCCATTCTTGGTATTGTTAGGGGAAGCACACTGATTGAAACCACACACCCTGGCCAGGCACCATAGTAACCATTTGCATGAGTTGTTTTATGGCAGGAGATCCTGATAAGGAATACGGAATTAATAAGCCACCACCAGCCGGAAGAGTTCGGGAAAGGTCGAGAAGAAACACTACCTGTCCGTCCACTTCCCAGAATCCCTCTTGCTAGCATCCATCTTGGCTGAGCGATGCGTGCGCCACCAGGAAAGACTCTGAATTAGAATGATTGGCCAAAGACCACCCAGAAACTAATCCCATCACCATAAAACCCAAGACTGCGAGCCACGCAGCAGAGCAGTTCTCCTGGGTTCCCTTACCCTCCCGCTCTCCACCTGGGTGCCCTTCCCAATAAAATCTCTTGCTTTGTCAGCACGTGTCTCCTCGGACAATTCTTTTCCGAGTGTTAGACAAGAGCCCAACTTCGGGCCCTGGAAGGGGATCCCCCTTCCTACAACAGTATGATGGGTGATTCTGATTGTATCTTGGATGTTTTAGATATTACTCTGGATCCTATTTCATCTTCTTTTTAGCACACAATCTCTTGTTAAAATTCATCATGAAGGCCAGATGATGATGTATGCTTCCCATTCTAGCAGCCTACTTTCTTCTTTCCAGTTTTCAGAGCCTCCCTCTGTTGTGTAGTGTCCAGGGATTTTGAGTTGCAAAAGGGAGGACCAGGAAGGACTGGGGCTACTCCATCTTGGTGGAATCATCAGATTTATCTTTCTTTAATACTCAAAAGCTGCCCTCAAGGACATGACTTTCCACAAGACATGCTACCAACCCAAGCTTCAGTGTCCTTATCTGTAAAATGGTGATGACACGATTTCCAGAAGTGAATGAGATCATGCGTACGTGCTCAGTTGCTCAGTCGTGTCTGGCTCTTTGTGACCCCAGTGACTGTAGCCCACCAGGCTCCTCTGTCCTTGGGATTTCCCAGGTAAGAATATTGAAGTGGGTTGCCATTGCCTCATCTAGAGGATGTTGCTGACCTAAGGATTGAACCCTCATCACTTGCGTCTCCTGCATTGTAGGCGGATTCTTT